GCAAAACAAATAATGAAATACCTGTTTCGGTACTGGTCTAGTTGACCCCCGCCAGGAAGCCAATTCTCCCGCCACTCAATTTTAGTTGACGCCCGCCACTTACATTTTGTATTTTCGATAACTAATAATTTATATAAAAATGTACGATACATTTATTAAAAATTATACATTTATGATTATAAAAAAAATTATGACAAAAATTATACATTTATGATTAAACATAACAATTTAAGCGATCAAAATAAAAATATATAAAAAATATGGTAATTATAAATAAAAATAAAAAATAATAATAAAAATTATACAGGTGGCCAAAATTCTGCTATATCCTTCAAAATTTCTTTAAATGGATCCCGACCGTTTAATTTACTCCGCCACATAAATTCTGACAAATAAGAATCTAGGAAGTTTCTCTTAGTCCCTCTACGTTTCTTGTTGCCCCATTTAGCACTTCCCCACATCCTCTCAACATTCTGTGTATGAGCTTCAGTACCGATAATATTATTAATTTGAATGGAGATAGTTCACAAGATGAATCAATCATAAATCATCAAAAACATATAAATGACAAAGAAGACTGTAAAGCTATGTTTCTAAAATATCAAAAACCATTAGACAATCCTATATATTGTCATTATGTGTCAGCTTCGACTTACAAAAAGTTTTAAATACTCCCAAGGGTGATAATATGAACTTATATTATAGTCGGAAATTTAGTACCTATAATTTAACCATTTATGAAAGTAGAAACCAAAATGCTTTTTGTTATTTGTGGAGTGAGACAATAGGTAATAGAGGTTGCAATGAAATAGTTTCATGCATTTATAATTATTTAATTAGTGTTGACCAACGCCAATCTATAACATCTATTGCGTTATTTTGTGACTCATGTGCAGGCCAAAATAAAAATAAAGCAATGTTTGCAATGATTATGTATGTCCTTAAGTTTGAATTAAAATGTATAACTGAAATTAAGTTGACATTTTTACTACCTGGGCATACCTATATACCAGTAGATAGCATCCATGCTACTATTGAACTGTTCATTAAAAAAATTACTGTATGGGCACCTAGTGAATGACCACCAATAATAAGGAATGCTTGAACAAATCCCAGACCTTTGGAAATAATTGAATTAAAATCAACGGATTTTTTGGATTGGAAACAGTTTTCTACTACATTTTTTCCTAACATTCTAAAAACAGAAACTGGTGAAATAGTAATTAACTCTAAATTGAGGTCATTATTATTCATAAAAAAAGATGAAGATGTAGATATAATGATTTTTGAATCTTATAAATTTGAAGAATGTCCCAAAAAACTACATGTCATCAAAAAAAGAGGGAGATTTACACAAACACCAACATTGCCAAACAAATGCTATGAAAGAAAATGACCCATTTCATGTGCCAAATTCAAAGATTTGTCTGATTTGTGCAAGAATGGTAGTATCCCAGAAAAGTAAGATAATTTTTAATTCTATTTTGCACTGGTTTAACAAATGTATAATAATATAATATTATTGATTAACAGATTTCATGCAGAGTACTATGATATGAATTCTAGTGAGACAATTAGAGACTGTCTTGACGAGTCTGATATTGAAGATTCTGATGTTTCTAATGTTTCTAATGTTTCTGATGACTATTAGTAATTATTATAAATATTATGTTTCAAGATCATTGTAATTGGTCTAATTTTTTTATTGTTACTTAAAGGATAATTTTTACTTATTTACTAGTCAAGAAGACTGAACATTAACTACATAATATGCAATATTAAAATATAATTATTATTAAGTTTTTATAATATTATTATACAGTTGATTTATTTTATTTTATTTTAAACGCAGAGGTGTTTCTAGTTTTTAACTATAGACTATTATGTCATTTTGTTATTAATACAATATTGTTCTTTTTAGGATAATTTTCTACTTATTAACTAGTCAAGACGACTGAATATTAAATACATAATAATAATATGTAATATTAAAATATTATTACTATTAAGTTTTTATTTACTGGTGATTTTATTTTATTTTATTATTATAAATTCAGAGGTATCTCTACTTTTTAATTAAAGACTATTGTCTATTATGTTTTCAATACAATATTGTTATTTTTTTTATTCAAAGGATAATTTCATAATAATTGACTACCTACTACCTAGTCAAGTAGACTATAAAAACTAATTATGCAGTACAAATTATATATTTTCATGTAATACAGGTAATGTTATAGTTTTTATTTTTATTAAAAACAGGTATTTCCACTTTTTTAATTAAGTCTTATCTTGAAAAAACAATTATTTGCTTAGCATTGCTCGAAAATATTGTTACATGGCGTAATAATTTTATTATGAACTAATTATTAAAAAAAAAATCGAAAGTAAGTCTGGCGTAAGCGCCTTTTTTTTTAATGTTTTTAAAATATGTCGTAAGTGACAAAACTTAAATTTAAATTAAAAAAAAAAAAATTTAAGTATTATTATTATACAAGAACAAATATTTGGTATAGTTACAACCAAAAAACGATAGTTTATAAATGTAGAACAACGTAAATACGTAATCTCTCTTAAATGGTTTTTAGGCTATCCTGAACAATTTGGTTTATGGCGCTTACGTCAATTAGCCTGCAGTCGATATTATGTAAATCCTCAACTATACACTCATCTTGTAAACTAACATAACATGTTCCTAAATGATTTCTGTCGACAAAGATGTTCAAAGATTACTTCACTATGTAGTTTAATTGTTGTAGTTTTTTAAATTTTAGTTGCAACTAAGTTTAAGTGCTGAACGTTTTTGTTTTTAAATACTTAAATATTTTGAGAGGTTCGGAAATGTTGCTGGTATACATCTGGGTCTTATGCAATAATCCTCCGCATTTCAATTCCAAAATATGTCACTATATTATCTTATTTAAAATAATGTACACAAACAAAATTCTTACAACAAATGTTTAACAATTTAATATCCTATAATAGTACATAAAGAAATTTGTTTAATAGTTTGTAATATACATATTTGTTTTTATTTAAATTTTAAATGTTTCATTTGTCTCAATTGTGTGCACTTTATGTACACCTTACACTACAAATTATTTCCAGATTTGTGTAGTATTTTTTTACAAATAATTAGGCAGGTATAAATCGTAAACTAGATTTATAAACGTAAACAAATGTGTTATTTAATACAAATTATAATTATGGCCCTATCATATTATAAGAACATGAAACTTAAACAAAATTTTAAAGGAATATTATAATAAAAAAAAACTAGTTTATTATTCATTTTTGCAAAATATTACAATTTGATTAATTTATATACCATATAGTTATTCAATAATTATACTATTTTTGTTTAATTAGTCTTAAATTAAGTTAAAAGTTATACAATTATTCGCAGCAATATTGGGAGATGATTTCTATTTTAAATACTGTTTGTTATGACTGGAAGTTTTTTCGATTGAATCCGCGCATAGGTATGTAACATTTTTTATTTATATCAACTTTCTAGTATGGTATAAGCATATTTCATATAAATTATGGAATTTGAAAATGTCACATTTAAACAATTTACTATTCTATATTCAATAGTCTTTAAAGCACCAAAATATAAAATAATGAATATAACCGGCCTTCCAGAAATGTGGTGGTGCCAGGCTGTTTTCATGTTTACTAATAACACCAAAAATGCAGTGAAAAATTGTGTCACTTTTTTAACGAAATGTTATCTTCTTATCTTTTGAAAAACTAGGTATAAAAAAAACACAAATTGAGTGTAAAAAAGTTCTGTCAACATTATAATAAACTATACACATGACTTTGAAAACTTTTCAATTTTCAGTTCCAAAAAAATTAGGTGTGGATAATTTTATTAGACTATCCTTTCGATATCAACCATTTGGAACTCAAAAAATAAATCAATTCAAACAAATTTATTTTATTAATTATTTTTATATTGTGTTCTGTATTTCATTTATTTAAATTTTGTTTATTAAAAAACATCATATACTGATAACTAACCAGAATACCTGGTCAGTTGGATAAGGTATTAAACCAATTCAATTTGTTATTATAAATTTAGAATTAGGTAATGTCAAAATATGACATACCTGATAGCATATATAAAATTAAGTTTTTTTTTATTTTCGCAATCTTCTATTTGGTTCCTTTCCGAGTCAACCGTAAAAATATTAAATGTATCCGCCCGTCAATTTTTAAGTATGTAAAATATTAATATTAAAAATGCTCATAACTACCTTAACGATTAAAATACGTAGATATTGAGAAAAACCAACTACAGGAAACAGATAATGTTCTATCTTTAAGTTTGATTGTAAGTAAGTTCACTCTAACGTTTAAGCTAACAACAATTTTAACTGCTGAACTTAAATTTGTCATGTTGTCGTATTTTATAAGACGGAGGCAACACTAAACACAATAAGTACCTGACAACACGAGTGTATCGTTAATTGCAGGACACTGTTGAGCGAAGTTGCATGCATTTTATGGATAGGTCACAGTTGTTATGTACCAACTTACCTAATAAAAATTAAATTCAACATTTTTAAGAAATAGATGTATTTTCTTGAATTTTTGGTCGAAATTTAACTTGCCTGTATTTGAACGGAACTCGGAGCCACTGGGCATGTAAAATTGACAGTTATTGAAATTACGGGAAGTTATACATATGTATTATTATGTGGGTAATGATTAAAAATCGCTTCATAAAAATAAAATAAAAACATCAACATCAATCATTAACTATATATTCATACTTATATAATAAAGTTGTATATACAATCACTTTTTAGGTAGGTAGGGTATATGTGTAAGTGTTATTGATATATTAAATTATGGTTAACCTAAATAAATAAAAAATACACAAGAATATAATAGTGATTATTCGTTGAATAATCAACTATAAGTATATACAAAAAAATTATAAAATTATAATGAATAAATAAAAAACATAACAAAATATATTGCTAACGACCCGATAAAAGAAAACAAATATCAACGTATGTCAATAATAGTTTATTAAAATACAATTAATTATACCTAAAGAGTAGATAAATAGTGTAGTCATGTGGGAGATTAAAATTACGCGTTACAAATGTCCACACACACACACGCACACACATGTATTATATTATTCGTAGGTACACCTCCATAGTGAAGGTATTATCTAACCTCGGGAAATGGTAGGTACCTATTATAGGTAATAGGTATGACCTATATTGTATAAAAAATACACCCGCACATTCCACGGCAGGGATTTCAATATTTGCAAGGGTAAGGCACACAAATAACCGGCTCCTGGTCCAATAAAAATACAACTTTTAAGTACATATCCAAAAAAATCCTCTCGCTCGATAGGTCTCCCAACTACCATTATAAATTACAACTTTAAAGAGCGACGTATACAATTTTGGCAATATAGATAACGGATGATATGATATTTAATCGTAAAACATATAGTCAAATAAAGTAAAATTACTATCTAAAGATCATATTATCTGTAGCTAGTATGTTTGTTTTTATCGGGTTTCTTACAATGGGACTGTCTACATATTATATGTTATATATACTATAAGTTATATGATATGTAGTTGTAGTGCTTATAGTGCAATGCCACAATCGATAAGACCTTTTACCTATTCTCGAAAAATTAACTATTCAGTAACCACGAATCGTCTTTACAGTTCAGCTTAATTAATTCAGTTGAGTACCTACTTATTAACAGTAATATGTACGAATTTGGTACCAAGAAAGGTAATTCCCGCCTTTCAACTTTGTAAGTTAGAATCTCATTTGTAATTTGCAAAGAAAGATTTCTGGAAGTCGATGATGTGCAACCTAACCAACATTTCACTCCGAGAAACAGCATGGATTTTCCAATTTGGGAGATAGGGCTACGCGTGTACACAAAAGTAAAACAAAGAAGTGCAAGTACAAAGCAGCTTAGCGAATTATGTACATCAAAATCCCGCAGAAGCAATACATGTGACAATAAGTGATAAAAATTTTTTAAAAAACTTTTTATATTTTCTATACCCAATATAAATATGTCACTATTCATTTTATCATATCATTCGTTATCGAAATTGGCCAATGTACGAAAGGCATTTTATAAATTATCTGGACATAATATAAAATGCCCAAATTGTTTACTTTGCCCATAACTTATATACTGAAAGCTCTATAGCTGTGATTCTTCCTATGCTGAACAGCCGAGTTTTGGCGATAAACTATGGCCATTACTCTGGAGACCAATTTCTATACTGTGCTGAGTAACCTGTACATCTTAAATCGTGAAACTAAGTAATAATATATGGTATATTCTTTATCTCAACGTACTTTGTACAATAATTGTACTCATCTTATCAGGTTGTTGTTGTGTCAGTTGTTGTATAGAGCCAGTTAAGGCGTAAATGCGGGAAAGTACATATGGGTACATATCATTATTTTTACCTGTAAATGTAAAACACATTGCAAAATACGTCCTCATGCCCCCCCCCCCCCCCCACAAATAAAGCACATGCTCCACAGTGTTTATTTGAAAATGAACGCCTATGAAATATTAAAGCTGTTAGTTAGGTACCTATGCTTATTTGGAGACCAATGACAACAATAATAATACGTACTGCAAATAATTAAATATTACGATTATTATATAATCCTAACCATTTTCATAAAATGCATACCTACCTAACATTTATAAAGGTACAGAGAAGAAAAATACAGGCAACTAAAAAATCTCTACTAAAAATTAATCTTTATCACTGATAACTTATCATTTACTTACTGTCAACTACCTACACAGTATTTTTTTGTTTAATTTAACTTAACTTTCCTACGTTTCCTACCTAACCCTGCACCTATTTAAAACTATTTCATAATTGGCTACGAAAAAAAGTTCGTACCCGTAAAAAGTTTTGTGAAAAAACAATATTTAGTCAAACAAAACGATTGATAGCTATATGATAAATTTAAAAAAATCAATGGAATAACATTATAGCTACATTAGATTTTCTCGGATATTTGCCTACATATTGTCAGTAATGCCTTGATTTGCAAAACAACAATACTTAAGTGTATGAATGATATTTTATTAAAAGGACTTCGCCGGTTATGTTCAGTTTCTACATAAAGACATTGAAGCTGCAGATAGGCTAAAATTGTTTGTAAAGCAATTATAGAGATAAAACACCTGAAATTGAACAACATTTTGTAAGAGGTATAATGATGTTTTTTTTTATAAACAGTTGCAATTGTTTAAATCCTCCTGTTGATATTAATTTATAATTCTTAAAAAAAACATTTATACCAGGATACCTTAAAACATTTATTTTAGCAAATAGTTTATACCTACCTATTTACCTGTGACCCGTGAACGTAAATTCATAATTCGAATTAGATTTTGGAAATTTATTTTTAATGCGAAGAAGTGGAAATCAAATATTAGTACAAATTGAATTGTCGGAAACATCATATTATATTTATATATGTATGGTTTTGTTTCTATGACCCATACCATTAACTTTCAATTTTAGCATTTAATTGATGACAAGAACATACCTACATTTTAAGGTTGGATTGTCATTTGATCGTCAAAATTAATATCATCTATTGCAGCTGCACCCTTTATAAATACATCGATATCAATATCCATCGAGAAGATAAAGTAAGGTTATATTTACCCACCATTTCCTCTGAGGACAAACGTAATTATTATGCTGAAGTTAGTAAACATAACAAAATATGCAAAGTAAAATATTAATAAACGATGATTTGAAGAAAGAAAACAGGAAAAAAGAAAACCTTTCTACCTTCTAACCGACGCGACGCTTTTGCAACACACCTGTCAGTTAAGCTAGTGTAACTTAGTACCTACCTCAAATCCTATAGTTTGAGTATAAGTAATAATTACTAATAAGTATAATATCCGTGGTTTTGAGTAGGTACTGTATAGGTTGTACCTACGTTAAAATGCGACTAGACCAAACATCATATTTGTTCAAAACACGAGGTACCTATATCGAGTTCCAGGACAAAAATTCTAAATCGACGCGATCTCGTCATAAATAATTTAAGAAAAATAGGTTACCATAGTCCATAATATAATATAATAAAAATATACTATTATATATTATTATGGTCTTTGGGCTTATTGCACATAAATTTAAGTATTGTACACAATATAAGTTATTCGCCCGACAATCGCCTCGCCTAACTAACTCCCGTCGGGAATCAGTAGTGGTGCTGCGAGTCGTGCGACATGATTGCGTTTCTGTGGGATCCAGCCTGCACCGACTGGAACGGTGGCATGCACGTGCCAAGACCGTGGCGGACGTTCTGCTGCGGCGGTGGCAAAGGCGGTTGCGCCGTCAGTGCGGCTGTGGAGATCTGTGGTGCGACCGCTGCTGGCTGGTGTTGCGGATACGGAGCGTCGTGGAGTTTGCGCAAGTGTTTCTTGAGATCGAAGTTCCTGCAAAACCCTTTGCCACAGACGTGACACGTGAACGGCTTCTTGTCGTTGTGAGTGTGCATGTGAAACGTCAGGTTGTACACCTGTTTGGTATATTGGTACACATGAAAAAGACAAACCAATATTTTAAAACGATGCCGGGAACAAACAATATTCGAGTACTGTTCCGAGACTCTTAGGTGATGGGAAGTGTGGTAGGTAGTATGGGGGGTTGAATAAGATATTAAAGTAGCTCAATTTTAAAATAATAATGACAAAAACACATTATGGTCCCTCTCAAAGTATGTACAGATAGGTTCTCTCGGTTATGGAGGTGATATACATTTGTTCATTTTCTCCGCACTCGTGCAAACTGCTAACGCTCCAACACATTCACGTGGCCTCCAGTAATTAACCAACTGTCAAACGGTATCGTCGTTGTTTTTTTTTTTAGTTATTTGGCTCTTTTGTCGTTAGATATTATAAGGCTTTTTGAATGCCGCATAATGTACACTTGATCTTTAATGCTTATATCAACTCGTTTAAAATACTAAAACCACTTAAAAACTTAAGTTCTATACTTGGTAGACAAGTTAATTATTAGTATAATAATTTGTATTATAATGACTTAATTAAAAGTCTGGCTGAAGCATTTTTTTGTTTCCCAAACCAAAAAAAAAAAAAAAATTCAACTAAACTCAGTTTTCAGTGATCAGAGTAGTACCTACCTACTCTAGTGAGTGGATTTATATACATTTGGATATTTTTTCTGGGTGATTGTATATTTATATAATATATTAAGGATAAGCAAAAACTATAATATTTTTAATGCTTTTAGAGTAAAATCAAACATTTTCAATCAGTATTTTTAATATTCTGTAGATATTTGAAGATTTTAAGGACATATTTTGTCTATTTAATGTTTATTTCAGTATTTTGTTAGAGTACATGTATTTCAGAAAATATTTATTGACGAATGTTAACATTAATTAACCCCAATTGGGGTAAAATGAATTAATAAAACATATATTTTTAAATTGTAGCCACAAAATATTTCGGTGGAGACTATGTTATTGCAAAATTCGTTTATGCGCCTCATTGGGGGAAACTTTTTTATAACATTTATACTTGTAGAAGCTATGAAAGTAACCGTCTTAACATAACCTATGGGTCAACTCTCGTTTAGTAATAGTGTGGACTCACATGATGATTAAAAATCAATATAATAAAACGCAATTTTTTAGCGAAGAATAATGAATAATTGCATGGAATTACATAGCCTGTGTGTATCTTAATACAGTACTCTTAATATTAAGTATAATATACTCGTATGATAATAAGTCCCTTTCAGATGCCTCTATTCATCTATGATAACTGTCGACATTATTTACCTGATGGAAAGCTTTATGGCACACTGTGCACTTAAACGCTTTTTCCACGCTGTGCGTTAGCTTGTGATTCTTGTAGTTGCCCTTTTGGTGAAATCCTTTGCCACAGTATTCGCAAGTGTACGGCTTGTACCCGGCGTGTATCCGAGTATGCGTGTTCAGCGTCGAACTCCTGTTGAACGCTTTTCCGCAAATGGCGCACGTGTGAGGCTTTTCTTCGGTGTGTATGATCTTGTGGCGGCACAACGTGGACGCTTGTCTGAAGCCTTTGCCGCAAACCTGCATCAAACGTAGATATAATATATTAATATCTATATTATATCTTATATATTATATAATATAAGAAACATTATCATTATAGAAGGACTTTGCAGATATAAATGGTAAGTGCCAACTGCAAGGTGATTCTTGAACAAAACTGATTATGATAGAAACGTGTAAAATAGTACGTTCTCCAATGTTTAAAAAATAACTCATTAATTATATCTCTTATAAATATGCCTGCAGGGTATTTCAAGATAATCGAATAGCTCTATACATATATTATGTATATTTTATAAATATAACGTGCATATTATGATCACTGATCACAGAAAGAATAGCGATGGCCCCCGTCCTGAAGTGAGGATAATATTTCCCAGCGGTTATCAGAGTGCTATTTCCTTCTAAATCAAATTTATTCCAATGCAGTATAATATGTTTTCATTGCAATGCAATTACATTCAATAGATTCTTGAAGTAATAGTAATTTGTAAGTATATTGTGTCGATATTTTATGGGTAGCCGAGTAGCTATCTAAAAAAAATATGATATACCTTTTATTTCATTTAAATACATAAACAATAATTTGCTCTTATTACTTCTGACCGGTTAAATTTTTTTCGATCGTTTTAAAAATATGCATATTATTACTTTACGGTGCCATATAATTCAATACAATGACCCCTCCTTTGACAAATTTCATAATAAAATGCCACGTATAATCAAATATTATACCTATTAATTTCTGAATGTACATTAAACCTAACCTACATATTATTTGCAAAATTATATAATATGATTTTTAGTTTATAAACTTTTTATACGTCATAAATAAACGATTTGCCAAAAAATTTTTAATTATTTTTTTGTTTCAAATGTTAAATATAACTTTCACGAACCTAAATGTTTTTTTTTTTTTTGTACTCTTAAGTTTTAATGTAATTTAATAGGATATTTAAAATAATAATTTTAAACACTACCCTAGAAAATTACACAAATTAATCTAGAACTGATTATTGTTCAGTATTGTTTACAGTACGGTATTGACGTGAGTTTTACCCGTACCGCTCTCTTATCTAAATCGTTAACTTTAACGACCCGCACGCACTATACCTTATAATTATCGCTTATCGTTTCAATTATATCTGTATTTGTTATTCACCTCAACACTTTGTCATAATGGCCAGTTCACAGAAACCTAAAGCTGATACGCCGGTAATGAAGACTTTGACCAGAAACGCCAGTAAAACTATTACGTTGGATAATATTTGGTCTGTATTATCGGATGTCAACGATAAGGTAACTACTTATGACTCTGACTTTAATAACATAAACATTAAGCTATCCAACCTCGAGTCCAGTTTTAATGATTTTAAGAGTTCTTTGAATTTGATATCTACAGAACTGTCTAAAGTTAAAAAAGATAATGAGGGTCTGTCCTCAGAGATCCAGTTATTACGTAGTAGAGTAATTCAGCTGGAACATTCTCAGTCACATAATGTCGATGTAATTCAAGAATCCCATGACAGATTATTAAAAGAAAAAAACTTGATTATTTTCAACGTGCCTGATTCTGATACTGAAGCTTCGTCAGTAACTACTAGTTTAGTTAATGAAATCTTCAAGGATCTACCTAATCCAGTGTCAGTGTCAAATGCTAAACGTTTGGGTAAACCGAGTAACCGTCCACGTCCTATTTTAATCCAATTCAACTCACACTCAGAGGTTCACTCCATATTGCGTATCAAGTCTAAACTCCGTAGTAGTACTCGCTGGAAAGAAGTGTCGATTAGTACCGATATGACTATAAACCAAAGAAATCATATGAAGTTACTTTGCGCTCAACTCAAAGATAAACGAGATATGGGAGATTTAAGTTGGTTCATTAAATATGTAGCTGGTATCCCTAAATTAGTTCAAAAAAACTAATTTGTCACCCCAAAGTTGTTAATTTGTTCAATGATGTATATAGTTGTAAAAATGTTTCTTATTATAATAATGTTAATACTTTCTCGGGCATATATCAAAATGTTAGAGGCCTCCGGACTAAACTTAATTTACTTCGTGCTAATGTTCCATGTTTAAACTACGACTTTTTTGCGTTAACTGAAACTTGGTTATGTGATTCTATCCATGACAATGAGCTTAATTTTAAAAATTACAATATTTTCCGTTATGATCGTGATCACCATTCAAGTAAATACAAACGTGGAGGGGGAGTGGCTCTATGTATACTTAAAAAATTTCCTGCTATCAGGTTGAATACTCCTATTCTATGCCTTGAACACTTAATTGTTGAAGTCAAACTTAACCATAAGAGTAAAATTGTCTTAGTTGTTTGCAATATTCCTCCATCTAGTCTCTTATCTAGTTATGTTAGCTTTATTAATTCACTAGAGTGGTTACAATCTACTTTACCTACCAATCATAAAATATTAATAATGGGTGATTTTAATTTGCCCTTAGTAACATTTTCGTCTGATAACAATGGTCTTCATATAAATGGTGGTACCTCTGAACGCTCAGATGTTTTATTTGATTTTTTCTCTGAGAATGGCTTTTTACAATATAATCTTATAAAAAACCACGTTAACTCGCAATTAGATTTAATCTTCTCTAATATAACTAATACTATAGTAACTGGCTGCCACGAAGAACTAGTACCCATTGATGTTTACCACCCAGTTCTCGAGATTAGTTGTGAATATGAGACGACACCAGTTTCTCATCGTGATAAAAGCTATAAATATAATTTTAAGAGAGCTGATTTTAACTTAATAACTAACGTTTTATTTAACTGTGATTGGTCCAATGTTTACAACACGCATTGCATTGATTTTGCCACCAATGAGTTTTATCGCATTCTTTCGGATGTCATCTATAATTACGTACCCAAATATACTTTTAGTAAACAAATTTACCCTAACTGGTTTTCACCTGATCTTCGTAGAACCCTAAATAAAAAGTTAGCTGCTCACAGAAAATACAAAGCTTCTAAATTGCATTCTGATTATGAAATTTTCTCTAACTTTCGTAAACAATGTAAGCAATTAATTAATAAATGTAATTCTGATCACATTATCAATACCCAAAAAAACCTTATTAGTAATCCAAAGTATTTCTGGAGTTATGTTAATATGTCTAGAAATAATTCTGATATCCCAGTATCAGTTCATCTTTCAGGGAAAAAGTTTAATAACCATTCAGAAGCTGCTAATGCATTTAGTGATTGGTTCGCCTCTGTTTATGAAAAACCTATTTCATTTAATAATTCTACATTAAATAATATCATTGATTGTGTTAATGTTAGTATGTTAGATATTTCTGTCAGTGAAGTCTTTGATTCCTTAAACTTGTTAAATTGCGCCTCTTCATCTGGCCCTGATTCTATCCCACCTATTTTGCTTCATAACTGCCGCTGGGCATTAACTAAACCTTTACACCACTTATATAATTTATCCCTAAAGTCTGGCACATTTCCTGAAGCTTGGAAAATCAGTTTTGTCCCACCAGTATGGAAATCTGGTGATAGATCGTCGGTCACAAACTACAGGCCAATTTCAAAAATAAACATTATTCCTAAACTATTTGAGAAAATCATCGAACCAAAATTGACGATATTATTTACTAATGTTCTGATCAGTGAACAACATGGTTTTCGTCGCGCTAAATCCACATTAACAAATACTTTGGTATTCTATTCATATTTAGTTGATATCGTTTCATTAGGTGGTCAAGTCGATGCTATCTACACGGATCTCCATAAGGCGTTTGATAAGGTAGACCACGGTCTTCTTGCGAAATTAGGTAAATTAGGTGTAAGAGGTCCACTACTATCTTGGTTTTCTTCATATTTAAGTGGTCGCTCTCAACTAGTGAAGATACACAACTCCGTTTCCAAAACAATTAAGGTCATGTCGGGAGTTCCACAAGGCGGTCATTTATCGCCTTTGCTTTTTATTTTATTTATAAATGACCTAAATAATTGTTTTAAATCATGTAAGTTTTTACTTTTTGCGGACGATATGAAATTATACATGCCAATCCATTCTCCCAATGATACGACTTCACTACAACATGATTTGGATCTATTTTCTTCTTGGTGCTCATTGAATGGCATGGCTTTGAATTCCTCTAAATGTGTTTGCATTTCATTTAACCGTTCTAAATCTCATATTAATTGTCAATATTTTATTAACGGTACGGCCCTTAACTGTGTCAATCAAGTACGGGATCTAGGTATTATTCTATCTGCCGATTTGTCATTCAATGCCCATATTAATTCAATTTATGGGAAAAGTCTTCGAGTTTTAGGGTTCATAAAGCGCACCTGCTCTGAGTTCAATGATGCATTATGTATGAAAGTTTTATATTGTTCGCTGGTTAGATCTTTACTGGAATATGGTTCGGTATTGTGGAATACTAATCAATCAGGTTTAGTTAATAAATTAGAAAAAATACAAAAAAATTTTTTGCGTTTTTATGCTTTTAAATCTAATTACTCATATAATAAAACTGTTGAGATTGCGAGCTTTGTTGGTTTGAGGTCACTTAAGACTCGAAGATTAGTACATGATGTTACGTTTATGTATAAAATCTTGAATGGTGGTATCGACTGTCCTGAATTATTACAAAAAGTCGGCCTTAAAGTACCCTCTTTTAATTCAAGATTTAACCCACCCTTTTCTATTCCTCATTCTAATAAAAATTATATTATTAATAGTCCGATGTGCCGCCTACCAACATCATGTAACTTATTACTTAATTTTGATTTTTATTTCGACTCCTGTACTAAGCTAAAAAATTCTATTTATAATTTAAATGTTGATGGTTAACATGTTATGTACTTATTCCAATTCGGTTAAATTGTATTTCTTTAATTATTATTATTATTATTATTATTAGGTGTAGTAGTAGTAGTAATTTTTATTCACTTGTTTAATTTAGCGATATTATAAGTTACACTTTCTGTACTCTTACCCTTTGGGGTGTTAAATATTTATTATTATTTAAATAAA